TATATCAATATGTTCTAATTGTATGCTAGGTAGTATGCTCCATTACAATCATTAAGGAGTGGTGTTGATTTAACTAACACTTGAATGCTTAATGTGTTTATTAATCTTCATTTCTTGGGGAGCTGGAGTTGTCGCGAGACAAGGCTACGTTCTCTGGTGTCACTCCTACACTGTCCACTGGATCTCACCTCTGTTGGCATCGGGGAGAAGCGAGAGGCACAACAGCTAGACCTGCACAGAACTGCGCTGAGCACACCGCAGACACAGCTTGCTCTGCCCCGCTCCTGGCCTCCACCACAGACACCCACACCGGCCTCGTGGGCATGTCGGAGCCACACCAGGGCCAGACCCCCGGACACACTCCACTCCCGCCAGCCTCCGGCAGCCTCAAAATGGAAACGCGCTGGTGTTTCAGCAGATCCGTCAGCGCGATTGAGTGGCACGGTGTTCAGCTTCACTCAGCTGTTATCAGGAGAGTGAATCTTATCTGCTGTTTGGGCAGGTGTCCACTTCCTCTGACTCAGCCTGAAAATAGGCTGTATAATTTGCCAGTCAAAACTGAAGTCAGTGAAAAGGGCACCATGATAGCATCCCCCCAGCCCTGTTCATAAGCCTGCCCTGTGATTATTTCACAATGCACAGTGTACCACCCTGGCACAGGCACTGGCACAGCGAGCGCAGACGTCCGTGTCTTGTCAGACCTGCACCCGTAACGTACAATTGAGAATCGCTGGAGAGGACAGCTCAGAGGAGTTGCTGTTTGATCAGTTTGTGTCTCTTCACTGGCGGCTCCTGCTGAACTTAACCTGTGTGTGTGTACCCTGAGAGCTTTAGAGAGATTACATTGCAATTGGTTGTATTGTTGAAAAGGCATGTCTTTAAAAATGAACATAGTTTCCATTCTCCAAACTCCCGCGGTTCAGAGGAAGAGTGAGGAATGCTGTCCTTAATTTGTAATCCATTTCCTGTGCAATAGAAAATGTGCATGTCCTTCACTTAGCTTCCGAGGGGAGGAAAATTAAATATTTCTGCTGTCACAGAGAAGATATTTATATCAAGCGAGAGGGAGATGTTTCTATAGGCACACAGAGTGAGGAAGATATCTCTAGAGGCACTGAATCACAGTGCTGTCTGAATTATTTCCAGATTTGCTCAAGCAGGCACAGAAATTAAACATTTCTATTGTCACAGAGAGGAAGGTATTTATGTACACAGGGAGAGGAAGATGTTTCTATAGGCACACAGAGCTTGTTCAAGGGTGGAACGTTCTTCTAAAGTCTTTGTTTGCAAGGTGAGCATGTAGCACACAGAATGTGGAGTCATTTCTGAAATGCCATAGTGCCTGAATCATTGTTCACGTAGTCCTGCTTCTTTTGTACTGTTTGGGGTGGGTTTGGTATTCAGAAATAGAGCTTAGACCTTAGTTTTTATCCTAAACGAAGGAAAGGATTTCAATTTTGACATTTTCTTTATAGACTTGAAATATATGTAATAGTCCTTTTATGGGCTGCAGAGGAACAGGTAAAGGGGTATTCCAAGCTGGAAGCAAAAGGAAAGGCTGTGGAGCCTTCTTCGAGTTTGAAGAACCTTCACGCCTGAGAACAGCTGCACCTTCAGCAGCCAGAGAATCCCATACACAGTTGTGCCATCCGATGGCTGAAATCTTTTTTCTCAGTAAATGCCACAAACACAGCGACACCAGTTCAGTGACTGTGGTCACTCACAGGTTCAGCTCCTATCTGTGGGGATGTGGGTTTTCATCCAGCTCTTCTCTGAAAGACCCGATTGAACTGATTGTTAGCTTTAACACGTTTCAGAGGGGGGAATGGGGCAGAAAGCTCTGTTCAGCTCTGGGGGACTGAAGGAGACTTAGATAACCTGCTGGGTTCTGTCCCCTGTGCAATGCTGGGGTACACTAGGAGGACCGGGAGAGGGGGTGCACCAGGCTGAAGACTCCCTTGGCTAGCACCGGCTGTCCTATCTCCTTGGCCCTTGGGTCTTGAGTCCAGAACGCCACAGTTGTATAGGCATATGCTCACGCAGGCCTCTGGAGCTCTTCCTCCTCCCTGTTCGCTCAAGCCCAAAGCGTCCCAGAATCCCCCAGCCAAAATCCTGACACCTGCAGCAGAGCTACTACCTGCAGAAGCACAGCGCCGTTTGTCAAACAATGGGCTCTGTATATTCCCTGCCAGGTTTTTGCCATTTTCATAGCAGAGTGCAGCTCCCAATCTATATTTTCATATACGCAGTGATAAGAGCTCATCGGCGTGTGCTCCTGGCACCCATGCTGAAAGAGGTTTGCATGTCTGTTAGATGCTGCCCGATCTCCTCCACTGCCTCGAGGGCAAATCTTTCTGGGCACTGACAGAAGTGATGAATTTGATTAGAATACTGTAACGGTTTGGGGTAAACGCATACGATTTTCTGGAACAAAGAGTTAAGTGTGGCCGCAGTGCTTCACTTTCTGAGGAAGGAGGCCGCTGGGATGGGATTCCCCAGGTTCTGCCTGCGAGGAGCTGAGGGCTCATCATGAAGGCAGTCCTTTCCCCTGCCTTCGGAACGGCGCGTGGTTAAGGCTCTGGAGCAATGACTGGAAGGTTGCGGGTTCGAATCCCTGCTGAGATGCTGATGTTGTACAGTACTCTTCAGCAGGGTGCTTTACCTGAGCGGTTTTAGCATATGGCCAGCAGCCGTATCACCCTGCAGCTCACAACTGGCAGCCCCAGTGAAGCTCAGCAGGTGTGAGCCTGGTCAGTACCTGGATGAGAGAGCTGGAAGAGGTGTTAGAGGGGCCAGATGAGACAAACCTGAGGTCCTAACTCTCTGTGGTCATTAAAAATCCCAGGGCATTTCTTGAAAAGAGTAGGGATGTTGCCCTGGCATCCTGGCCAAATTCCCCATTGGCCCTTACCAATCAGGGCCTCCTAATAACCCCCATCTCTGAACTGGCTTCATCACTCTGCTCTCCTCCCCACTGATAGCTGGTGTGTGGTGAGTGTACTGGTGCACTATGGCTGCCGTCACATCATCCAGGTGGGGCTGTACACTGCTGGTGGTGGAGGGGCGTCCCCATTACCTGTAAAGCGCTTTGAGAGGAGTGTCCAGAAAAGCACTATATAATATATATGTGTAAAGAATTATTATTATTGTTCCAGTAAAATTCCCGCGTTCATAATTGGGCATACAAGCATGAACCATGAACTATCATTCATATGGATAAAATTGTCAGCCGAATGAAAATAAGTCATTATGAACCAGCTTGTCAAATCCATGCCATAGCGACAACTGTCTGATTAGGTATCGCAGATTAGAGCAGGGTGCCAGAAGTCACAGCTGCTTACGAAATACATGTATGACGAAGGCCTCTGGAGAAGACAGAGAGAAACCAGCTGGCCCTCGATGCCTCTGCTCTGAAGATCAGACCTTTCTGCATCTGATTTATACCTTAGCGGCAACAGGCAGCTGCTTGTGTCACCAGATAAAAAGTGGTCAAAAATGAAAGAATACATTCGAACACTCGAATCTGACATCTTCTGAATAAACTAGGCAAACAGAATGCTGGGAAATATGATATAGTCAAGAGCACAACATTTAAATCAAGGGATATTATGTTAAAACTAGCCAGTACACTAGTCAGACAGCCTTAAGAATACTGTGTACAATGGTAGTTGCTATGTTATCAAAAATATATTTTTTGCACTGGAATCAGAACAACCAAATATATTTCTGGGTTTCAAGGACGGTCCCACACTAACAGACTGTAGGAACTGAGTCTCTTTAGTCTTGAACAGAGAAGACTGTGAGGAGACTGATACAAATATTAAGGGACTGTCCTAAAGTCAACCCACCAAGTGGAAACCAGGGCACAAGTGGAAACTATGTGTAACTGCATGAAAACATGAGACGCTTATTTACACAAAGGGATGTGGGAGTGTGTAACAAGCTTATTTTATGGAGTTTGTAATGGAAGTTTGGGAGGGCTGACAACAGCCATGTTCAATCAGACTCTGAAGTCAGTAATTAGCAATCACTCCAGTGGTTCAGTCAGCCAGTGGCTCAGTCAGCCAGTGGCTCAGTCAGCCAGTGGCTCAGTCAGTCAGTGGTTCAGACAGTCAGTGGCTCAGTCAGCCAGTGGTTCAGTCAGTCAGTGACTCAGTCAGTCAGC